ATTTTTCCATGCTGCTCATGGCAAATTCCTGCAGCTTTTGAAAACTTGATGGCATTTTGATTGCTTCTTTGAAGCAGTCATTGAGGAGATCCTTTGCTGCATCCAGAATCACATCAAAGGCTTCAGACACGGGCACGTTAATTTCCCCTTTCCTACGCATAACTTGCCGCACATTATGAATTTGTAACTTGAATGCTCTGAAGAGAGCCACTGCATTAAATTCAGTTGGTTCAATACACCAAACATCTTTCACACTCCACACTTGCATATTTTTGAGTATTGCAGAAACAGAAACCTGTGAACACAGAGAAACAGGTAATGCAACACAGAGTAATGCATCAGTACACAGACACTTTCAATGGTATATATAGTGAATTCATTGTAATGAACAACATTTTCATGCATACAAATATTCTATCAAATCATGTATATATTCATACAACAAAATTCCGCAAGTAAACCCAAACCCATGATGGGATTTGAACCCAGAAGATCAGAAACCCTTGCCAACCTCCTAAACGACTGAGCTAACAACCTTTGTAGTGAAAGAATGAACCAAAACATGAACTTAACTCAAAGCCAAGAACAGGAAGTAGAGCACTGTTTTCTGCAGAAATTTGGAGTAAAAAGTTAGGCGCCCCAACTTTGGTTACTAAATTCTTGAGAAGCGCTCCCTGAATATAAGAATTAGAAAAGAGCAGCCAAATTGGAGGACATCAACCTCAAAAGTGAGGGGTGCAGACAAGGGTACACCCAAACATAAACAAAGTGATTTGAGGCGCCAACAGCTCAAAATTAAGATAGTGTCACACATCCCCTCTTCCGAAAAAGGTTGTGTCACGCAACATACGGTATTGAATAATTATAAAAAAATGACTTACTTTCCATCTGGATAATAGAAAAATAATGGCACGTCAACATTATATACATTTGTAAACAGCGTAGAAACTTTGAGAAGTAAATAATTATAATAGTATAGTAAATAGTAAATTATATTTCAGAGAACCCTGCCATAACTTTAAGAAGTAAATAATTATAATAGTATAGTAAATAGTAAATTATATTTCAGAGAACCCTGCCATAACTTGAAGTAAAAGTTGCCTGAACCAGCCAAACCGTCAACTGACTCAAGTCAACCGAGTCAGTTAATTCAATTGACCGAGTCACTTGACTCAACAGAGTTTACTCTAACGATCGACCGAGTCTGTTGGTTTTATGATGTGGTCAACGGACTCTATTAACCGAGTCAGTTGACTCTATTGGCCGAGTCACTGGACTCTGTTGACAGAGTTTGTTGACAGAGTTGGTGGACTAAGTTGGGTTCACAGAGGCATGCTCTGTTGACTGCATATGTATATACAGCGTGTTTACCTGCATATACATGCGCCAGATGGCGTGTGTGCTGGCGCGCGCACTCATGCCCCGCCCATCACCCGCCAGGATGAGTCTCAGGATGCCCCAGCATACCCTGGGATGGTTCCCTGATGGCTCTGGGGAGGCCGCCCCATCCCCGGGGATGGTTCTTAGATACCCATATTTTAGGGAATCCCGCGGGATGCATCCAACTTCAGGAGAGCATCCCGCGAATGGGGCGCCTATGCCCATCTCCTATCCCTAGCTAGTCCATCCCTTGGTATGCCTAACTGCGGGATGCCCCGATTCTTCCGCTGGGTGGTCCCCATAACTTTCATTTTTTTTATTATTCTTATAACCTTTTAGGTTGAAGGGTTGCTGAAGTGGTCCTTCGGATTGTCGAACTGCCCAAAAGAAGGAAGTGTCCTCTGAGTTGAAATATTTCCGCCAAAAAAAAAAAACATAATTTGCGAGTTGGGGGGGATAGTGGAAGAAATGTTATATGAACAGCAACGGTTTCGAACAGGGAAGTCAAACGTAAAAAGTTTGACATAACGCCCTAATTGCGAAGATTTATTGCCTTGGTGGGTAAAAATGGTTCGTTCCCCATTTTTTGCTTGTTCATGGGAAAGAAAAACTAATTCATCTTTTGAGAATGGTGAATTATGATGCCCACAACGTTAAGAAAATACGCACTCCGTCAGAAAAATTGTTTCTCACTGCAGACGGTTAGAAAAGAAAAATCCGAATGGTGAGGTTTTGAGAAAATCAGGAGTCGTATATTGTACCTGCTGAAAAAAACTTTTGTGCTTAGAAAAGTAGAAATCCTTGCATGGGCGAACATGCACGGATTTTTCAATTTCAAAAATACTGTACTGCCCGGTTATATAACCCTGAGGGAGGTAAAAACATTAGCTGAAATAACGTGATTCCTTTGCTGTTGAAAGAGGCTTTTGTCGAAATAAAAATGTTGTCTCGAGTGTTTTGTACTGAAGTTCGTTATAACCTGAACTTATACACAGTGTATCGTTTTATTTATTTTTATTTCGTCGTTTGAATTTTGCTCATCAGGTCGTGTTTCGAAAACTTATCGTTTACCAACAGTCGTCATGCCGTATTACGCTGTGTCAGAAGGTGTCCGACCCGGGATTTATAATTCTTGGTGTGTAATTTTGAGTCGACAATTTAGAAATATTGATCAAAATAATAATTGTATTTGCTTTCCTCAGGGGAGAATGTGAGCAGCAAGTGTCAAGGTTTCCAGGGGCGCACTTCAGGAAATTCAGCACGCGGGAAGAAGCAGAAGATTACATGAGCGATCCGGTTTGTGGCTTTTGTCTTCTAATTTTACTATCATTCGTTTAATTCCCATTTGTACAATCGCTCCTTCTCGAGTTACAGCATACAGTGTAACGCAACGTTATTTTCGTGTTGAACTCTTTTCTCTTTTTTTTTCAGTGGTGCCCTATTCTTTATCTTGCTTTGACGTTTTTTTTTTTATAATGGAAATGCCAGGATTAACAAACACTGTTCTCCTATTGTCCAAAGAAACATGTAAAGTACCGTATTATCCCCCTCGGCGACTTGACCTGCGTCTAAGTTCGAAAAAGCTTATCCCTAGAAGACCTCCCGTCTTCTAAGGATTTTCTTGATCTTGGAATAATTTCCAGAGATATGAGTATTGTACCTTCATTCTGTAGAAGATACACTGTCCTTCCCTGGGAAATATGACTAAATTTTTATAGCTTGAACGGTGCCAAATGAGGTGAGCGAGTTGAACTTTCTTGATACAGTGTCTTTCTATGGATTCGCTCAAAATTCGAGCGTGTGACTTACTCTTGGATTTTGTTTCGTGAACTGCGAATTTATTGCCGAGTTTTGCTTCATTCCGAAATAGGAATCCTATCGGAGGTCAATCAAACGCGGAGCCGAGACGGAATCATATTGTAATCATTCATGCAAGAGATACAAGGCAGATACGGTGCGATGAATGAACCAACATCCGCATCTGGGGTTCTCGAGCTTATCTGCAGTTTTCATTTTTTTGGTTGCAGATAGAGGTTCCAGATAGAATTTTGCGACAGGCTCGTTTGGCGCGGAGCTTCGAGTTCACTGACGATGATTTTGCCGTGTGTTACACGGATGGATCCTGCAAGAGGTCCAAGGGTAACGCTGCTGGAGTCGGAGTCTGGTTTGGTCCCCGACACGTCGCGTAAGTCGAGCTTTTTTTTCGTCAAGTGCGTCATCTACCGGGTAAAAGTTCTAGTCATACTAAGCCCCAACTGCAGTACAGTATTCGTATTCTGTACATGCGGAAACTGGGATTTCAGTTACTTTCGGAAAGAAGTAAATGTTGTCATCTTTGAGTGTGTGATTTTTGTTTTGTTTTAATGGAAGACTTGGCACAGAAACTTGAGTCATGTTGGTGGGGTATTGAAGACGAACTCAAGAGGCGGGAGTCTATGCGGTTTAATTATTTTCCCAGTGTTTTGATCATCAACGAAGATACGTTTTCGAAATAAATCGGTGGTTGTGAAAGGTGGCGGCCCATCGGGGGTGCGTCTTTACGGAATTTGACTATGAAGCAAGTTATTCAATGAACTGATGAATGCGAACATTTGAATTTGAACTTTTCATGAGGAAGCAAACATTCCGTGATAAACTTTATTGTTTATCCTGCAAAATTGAATTGTGTTAATTTTTAATTTTGTTGGAATGGCGAGTTTATTTTTTACAATGTTGGAAGAATTACTCGCTGTTTATCCACGATTCGGAAAATAATCTGTCTTTGATCCTGATGGATCCTGCCTATCCGATTGAATGTTCAGTAATCCAGTGGTTTGACAGAATCGGAATTTTTGTTGCTTTTCAGGAACATTTCGGAGCCCATACCTCCGCCGAGTACAAACAATAAGGCCGAACTACTGGCAGTATTATACGCCATCCATGCGGCGAACGAAGCGGGTAATTAAAAAAAAGTGCAATTCACGTAGTATGCAAAGATCGGTGTGAAAATTTTGATTTCGCAGGTTTGGTGAGGCTTGAGATCAGAAGCGACTCGTGGTACGTCATCAATTCTTGCTCGGTATGGATAAAAAAGTGGAGGCGCAATAACTGGCAAACATCGAACTACAATGGCTATTCGAAAGATGTCGAAAATCAAGACGAAATTCGAGCAATTGACGAAGCCTTATCGTTAATTACCGTTCGCTTCGTAAGTTATTTTTTCTAACCTTAAGGTTCATGTCAAAAATTTCAAATTTCTGAAATTGTTCACTGGATACAATTTACCTCGGGGAAAAACACCGTAATCATAGTACAGCTTATTTTTTTGTTTTCTCAAGTACTGTGACATTGCAGAACTACTGGTAATTTATAACTGAACTTGAGATCGTTCGGAAATAGATTTTAATAGAACTACTGTGACTGTATTTCCATCGTTGAAATGGAACGTCGTCATGAAAGATCCATTTCATCAAAATTCATCGAGTGAGAAGATGAGAGCACTGCTGCCGATAAACAGGAAGCTTTATAGTTGGCAGAATGTGGCGTATTTATTTGCATCCGAAATTTCAGGAGAAGGTGGAAGCACATTCGGGTGAAGAAGGAAATGAAGCTGCAGATGAATTGGCAAATGATGCTGCGGATGAATCGTGGAGAATGTACGGACGTTGATGAAAGTCGAGATGACTTCTTCCGGCATCTTCAAGATGGGAAAATTCTGGGAATTAAAATCTTCGCATGTTCAAATTTTGTATGATAGGTTTCACTGCTTCAGCAGCGCTGAGCGTGAACTGTGTAAAAGTGTTCGTTTTTCGATTCTCGTTGAAAGGAAATCAAATGTTCCCAATAGGAATCGCATTTGGAACACTGCTTTGGGTGGTCTAACTCTAAAATTCTCAACGATTAAACTCCCTTTTCTAATTTGCTCCAACGGAAAAAACTACGGCATTTCATCGTGCACGTTTTGCATGAAAATATTTCCTGGCATGTGGCTTCGTATAATCGAATTTTACAAGCGATTAAAAAATTGAAATTCCACATCACAAGAAGAGAGTATTTCACTCAGACAGAACGATTCAGTTCGAACTGCCCATATTATTCCAGTTCATTTTGACTAGGCCCCCCCCTAGGTCAAAAGCCCCCCCGGAAAGCCCTCCTGCCTAAAGCCCCCCCACCACTTTTTTATAATTGGATGCAAGTTTTATAAAAGTGCTTGGTGGCCCTGAGATGGGCTATTTGGTTTCATTAGTCCTCAAAAGATCAGCTTTATTCAGCTTTATTCAAGATAAATACGGATAATGGTCGGTTCAATTAAAAAAAACAAGGAATCTTAGCATTTGAAGTACTGTATAAGCGCTTTGCCCACGTCGTAGGAATGCACGACATTTTACTGCTTTGTGTGTGTGGAGAATTTCATATGAGGTATTTTCCTTCTTCGTTTACTGATATGATGTTTCTGGTATGAAATTATCCCCAAGGTTGATCTGCGGAAGCAGCTTTTATCATTCTCGGCACTTTTATCGGTGAAAATGCCGTTTTACGCTGTTCTGCGTGGTGTCAATCCTGGGATTTTTTCGTCTTGGTGTGTATCACATATGGAATGTTCAATACATTTTACACTTGTAATAGTTATTTCTCCTTGATATGTGTTCATGTAGGCAAGAATGTGAGCCTCAAGTGTCGAGGTTTAGTAGGAATGAGTACAGGAAGTTCTCCACTCGCCAGGATGCGGAAAACTACCTGAATGAGCAAGTTGGTACATTCCACGTATATTTTTGAGAATTAAATGTTCCATCATCATTCAGTACGATGTGACGTTAGAAAAATCGACAAAAATTATATCTGCTTGAAGTTCTCGGATGTTTCCACAGTCCAGTCCTGAATTTTCTGATGCGCCAAATCGATGGCAGAATGATCCGAGAAATTGAGTGAATTAATGAAAAATTGAGTCCGTTCCTTTTTTCGAGTGGATAGAAGGAATCTTGTGTACAGATAACTTTAAAGAGGGCATATTATTACGGTATAATGTTCATCACTGTTGGTCATGTTACAGACTTATATGCTGTAGCTTGTGTTTTGGCTGATTTCGGCAGGGGTCTCAAGTTACTGTCAACAATCGTATCCTAATGGAGCTTTTGCAAATAGTAAAGGATCTTGTTCGCAAGGTGCATGTTCTGGAATCATCGCATGAAGCTGTGAGAGGTGTGCCACAATGTCCCTGTCCGCCAACTGTTAAGTTTTCCACTCTTGAGATGTGTCATTTATTGAGCGTGTCCCGAAAGGAGCTCAAAGAAATCACACTGCGAGGTGAAGGACGTCTGTCGCAAATGTTAATGGACTATGTGATGCAGTTCGATTACTTGACTATAGCTAGATGAGTGACCAGGATATTTAATAAACCACATGACTAGAATGAGTTTGAATTTCATGTGTTCTGCGCGAGGCTCTTACAATCATCCTCGTGGAGTGGCTCTGAGAAAATTGCTGGCCTGTCGAGAATGCAGTACTGGGGAACACTTCGTGTGCCACGATTTCGGGTATTTCTTCTTCTTCATGAGAACGAAATTTTCATCTCGGAAGAAGGCGTTGAACATTTTTCTCAATGCGTGGTTCAGGCATTCAGTGTATCACACAATCTCTACTCGACTATATACTCACTGAAATTCTCCGTGTCTGATTGGCAGATGCAGTAGTCCAAAAACAAATTCTCGTATAATTGTGGCTAGGTGTCTTAACTCAAGTAAACGAATGTCATTTCTTAGACGGCCGAGATCTATGTATCGGAAGTGAACATCGGATCCTACTGCTTCCGCGAAATTGAAGACAGATCACGTCAGTGAGCCTGTGTCTTTTTGTGTCTTCGGATCTGGAGAAATTATGCAAGAGAAGGAGATTCCTCGGAAAATTTTGGAACAGCGTTCACGAGGGGGATGACGAAATTATTTAACGTGACATCCTCCCTGTGTGGCGGGGGTTTTTTGTTTTGCACTCCGTCTTTTTTTGGCGTCTTCATCTGAAAGATCCTCTCTCTGTACATCTCGTATAAGCATGCGCTATTTTATTGGCAAGCGATCAGCTGTTCCAGTATGGTTTTCAACGCGATTGATAAAAAAATTTAGGCTGCGAATTTGACTCTTCGTCTCTTTCAAATATGAGTTTCCTGGGAACGCGGATAAACGTAGAGCCGAGACGGACATCATGTCAGTAGAACCTCCTTCCAAGATACTGAAGCCAGATTTGGTGGTCAGAGAGCCAGAGTCTCTTGTTGCTTCCGGAGAACGTTCAACATATGAAAAGCCGAAAATTCCTCCAAGAATTTTAGAAGAAGCACGAAAAGCGAAGGTCTCAGATTTTACTTTCACTCCTGATGGATTTGCCATCTGTTATACCGACGGATCCTGCATCACTCATTTGCAAATTTCCGGAGTTGGAGTTTGGTTTGGACATGACCACGTTGCGTAAGTATTTTTTTTCGCTCATTTCCCCAGTTACGTTGGCCTGAAAATTCCGAAAATTGAATACATATCTGTAATTGGCTTGTTCTTCGATATGTTCAGTTTCGAATTACCTTTGTATATTCTAACGGAGGTGGATGAACATTTCTGTATTTCAAAGGAGGGCAATCCGAAATATTTTCTGACAACCGGCTCAATTTCGCTCACCCGGGTACGAGGTAGGTAGGCCTTACAAGAAAATTCAACCCATGACTATTGGAGGAAATATTCTTCACCTAATCTTCTATCATTTATGCATAAAATAGGGAACTATACACTGTGCTGCAGCATTACGTTACAGGAAACCAAATAATTGTCATTGTACAGGAGAACAAAATCTCTTAACTTGGGACTTCGAAGCATTGTGGCTATCCACAGATCAGCTATGTGCTGAATGAGATGAAACAGCTATAGAATACACTCATTTCAAGACCGTTTCCCCGAAAAATCAAGCGGTATATTGTAATGCATTCAGGGTTTGCAAGTCATGCAGCGTTTGTGAAAGGAGTTTTCTTGCAGCGCGAGATACGGGCTATAAAACATGGGACAATTTTGTGAAATCCAAATGAACAATGCGCACGATATCAGAAAAGCCGATTAGTAGACAATTCATTCATTTTTACAAATTATTCTTGGGAAGGGTGAGCAAGTGTGATGATGATTCTTCAGCATAGGAGTTGTATCACTGTGTTTCCAGTCTCAGGGATGACGCATTCACTAGCAGTAGATGCCGAGTGTAAATTGAACGCTGTACAGTTTTTTAATGCTCGCATTCTGACGTTTTTTATGGACTGCTGGCTTTCCTTTTCTGGTTTTGCGTCCCCTTTTTTATGGCTTTTCCCGAAGACTAATGGAGCTTGCTATAACAAGCTTGCACGTTAACTAGCTCGCTCATCGTACAGTAGGACGGCCAAAAAGTTGTTCAACTGACACTTTACCGCGCGATAGTTCCAGCTGCTTTTTTTTGCAATTATTCGCAAGAATTTCCGTCATCAACTGTTGTGGTCAAATTTGTTGGCATGAGAGTCTTGTTTAAATTTTTTATGAGGGCAAAAACTGCGAAAGATATTCCTGGATGAGTTCCATAGATTGGTCATTGGTATTATGAAATCTAGTCTGAAGGAGGGAAATGCACGACAGATCGTGTACCTCGTTCGTCAAATTATTGTTTATCCCAGTCCTGAAAGTTTTTATTCCTGTTTTTTTTCTTCTTTCATTTTTTGCAGGAACATTTCAGAGCCCCTGCCCGTTCCGGGCACAAGTAACCGTGCAGAACTGACTGCCGTGCTCTATGCGATCCACGTTGCAAAGGAAGCCGGTATAATGAAAAAATTTACTCAATCCGCATCCTACAGTATGATAAATTCACTCTTATGTTATACCGCAGGTCTGAGTAAGTTGGAGGTCCGTACCGATTCGACATACACCAAGAATTGTGTCACTGTTTGGCTGCCGAATTGGAAAGTCAACAATTGGCAGACAACCGCGAATAAAGATGTCCTGAATCAAAATGAAATCCGAGCTATCGACGAAGCCTTCAATTATGTGGAAGTGAAATTTGTGAGTTTTTTTTTAAATATAATTTCGCCATGAGAAAATTCACTTGTATATTTAATGGAATGTTTTTATAAATCAAATTTGTATCTCCTTGTATCTCCTATTAAATTTTTTTCTCATTTCATCAGTCATTCTGGATGCAGTATTCAAAGCATACTATATCATTAGACTGAAAATTTCCTTCACACTCTATGAAAGTTCAAGGTGCCTTCATTCATTTGAGATCGGTTGCATGATCATCATATTGAATATTTTCGTCTTTAGTTGTATAACGGCATTCTTCAATTTAATGTATTGTACTGTACCTGGAAAACCATGCATCTATCTGTGGAAAATAGAACACTGTATGTCGTATGTCACATAGATAAATTTTTTTTTAACAATATAAAAGGTGATGATGATTGAAAGTGTTGGGTGCGCAATCTACTTTGACCAGGTGTAAAGATGCAAAGGTACGTCAACCTGTCAAGGTGTTGGTAGCTTCCAATATATTTATTTTTATGCTGTGGACTGATGTTTTCTGAACACTGGCCTCCAAATATCTCTCTTGGCATTTGGTGGGACTTTTGAGGTTGTAAATCCTGTCCCAATTCAAGTCAGCAGGGGGTGATTTGCAGTTTCAGTAAAAGGATAACAGATCAGGTAAATACTGTGCAATTTTTTATTGCCACAAGCCTGGCACTGATTTCTTTTACTCACAAGCATAAAATGCACTTATAGGAAACCAACACACTCAGTGATCAATCAAACAATGATCAACCATCAAGCATCAATACCGTTTCTGTCTAAAAAATAAACAAAAAAGCAGAAAATAAATATTCACAGTTCATATCAAACAGCCATCTACATCAAACAATTTTTGGGGCCTCTTGTATTTTGCTTTAATGCAAACATAGCAGAGAAAATCTTAGTTTGAGAAATTGTACATGAAAATAATGAACTTGAATACTAATGCCCAAAGTCACAAGATTCCACACACATTCTTTGATTTTCTAGGCGCACATGGAAAAAAAATCGCTTAAAAAAATGCACAGCAACACAATTTAGGAGCCCATGAAGTCTCGAAGAGGAATGAGTAAAAATTTGGACAGAGCAGCCTTTTAAGTAAATTTTTGTAAAGTACAACACACCCCTGTCACTTCCTTGTGCCAAATTTTCTACACCCCTGGGTGTCAATGCCCTCAAACGCTCTTGGCGGGTGGATCAAACTCCTGCCTAAAGTTTTTTGCAGGCCTGACAAATTGGAGCCTGGTCTTGGCATCTCAATACTCCAGCTTTCACAGATGATCATGTACACTAGTTATCCTTGTTCTCAGGGTTGTTTTCGTCTATAAATGCTTTTTATCTTCACTGCTGGCTTATTTTTCAAGAATTAATGCGTAATTTCTTTTCACAATTTTCTAGAAGTGGATACGAGCTCATTCCAAAGAAGAAGGAAACGAAGCTGCGGATCGATTGGCGAGGCTTGGTGTGGCTAAATCTATGAGAAATTCCGAGAGTTGAAACTGGCCCATTTATCGGATGTCAGAAGCATTTCGAAGATTGTATGATCTCTAACAATCTCCGGGATTTTCTCACCTGAAGCAAGCAGAAGTTGAACAATGATTGAACTCTGAGCTTAGTGCATTTGTGCGAATGAAATGTTTCTTGTGTACAGTGCTTAACTCTTTGGAAGGTCGCCAAGTTTTTCTCTCAAATGCGCCGAGCTCACCAGTGCCTTTTTTTTTTGGGCGCTCCATTTTTTCAAATCGTGAATCCTGTTGTCACGGTATGATTGGAATTTTTAAGGAATACGAGGGTTGTCCCACTTCTGGCGTTGGATATATTTCTAGAGTAGGTACCATTGTTTTTAAAAAAAAAAATTAGCTCATGCAATCGTAAGGTTCTGGGATTTTTTCAGAATTTTTAGAAAAATTTCAGATTTCCTGCAGGATAACTGCAGAACTTTCCAGTTCTTGTGAGAGTTCTCCGTCCACGTCACTGGCTGTTGAAAATTTTTTTTAGTCCAGACAAAATATTGAAATTTATTTCGTTTTTATTATAAACTCCTACATCTTGTGCAATTTGTGGTTTTTGCCTGTGATATGTTCTCACTACTTCGAAATTTATAAAACTTTTTATTTTAATGTTCTGCCTCAAGGTTAGAAAGCAGGGTTGTATGTGCAAGTACGGTTAAATCTTTTCCCGTGAGTCAGCCAATTTTCCCTCCGTTTGCCCAGGTTCCTCTCCTGTCTTCTTCATCAGTTAAAAAATAAAATGAACGAAAATTATATAAAAATTGCATGGTAAAAAGAAAAATGGCTCAGGCAGGAACTAGGCCTTGGATGGAGAACCTTGCAATTGCATGGGCTGTACTTTTTACATGTATACTTTTTGCAACGGTACCTACTCCGGGAATACTCTACAGGAACAGGATAAAACTTGTAATGGTGGCTTCCTGAGAAAATTCGAATTGGTAAAACGCGAAGTTCTCCACAATTGCTTATTGGACATTGTAAAAGAAGATGTTTTGTTTAAAAAAAAAAGGAGGAATCCTTGCATGGGGAAATTCGTGCCGATTCTTTCGCATCATTTGGAAAAATTCGCAGAAATAGTCGTGTATGTAAACATGAATACAAAATGAAACAAACGAGCAAACTCAACAAGAACATGATCGTTGTGCTGTTGGAAAACTCTTCTGTTGGTTTTCGAAATACAAACATTGTCTGGTTGCTGTATCAAGAAATTTTTGTTAACCTGAGGTTCTGTTATTCAGCTGTTCCATTTTCTGGTACAAATTTTGTTCTCTAGGTCGTGCTTCGAACATTTGAAGTGGAAGTGTTCTTCAAGTGGCAAACAATTTTTTTTCAGGGAATTCTGAAGAATATTTCTTCCATAAAGCACCAATTAAAAATTATATAATGTAAGTCTATGGGAAAACAAGACTTGGCTTAGGGACAATTCAACTTAGAGACACTCTTGATTCACCAATTATGTCCGCATCTCAAGGTCTCACTGTAATGCTTTTTTTTTAATAGAAAAAAGATTTTAAAAAGCATTAGTCACCCTTCACATGTATATCAAACAATCAAGTCAAATTCTGAGTCTGGATAATTTTCTCAGAAGTCCTTTTGCAACCATTTGTGTTTGATTAGAGTAAATTGAACATTGTGATCCATAAAACAAGCAATTCACAACCTTGGTAAATTTTTACAGCCTTGAGTCAAGTTCAGAATGAAACATAAAAATTAAAATTTAGCCGGTTTTAGACTTGGGGAAAAGCACTTTCACAGGATTTTAAAAAATTGCAGGAAGGAAAACAATTGGTAACTTTCTGGGCCTCAAACAGTCCTGGATCCATGAGCATAAAAGAAACTGCATGAACTTGAAGAAAGGGGAACATTTGATGGCCAATCGTTTTTTCCAAAGAGAAGGATCATACAATATCAGAAGGTACTTTTCAAATTTTTAGATTTTTTAAATTTTTAGATTACTTGGCAGTCATACTAGTTGTCTTGGTTTGGAAGGTATGCTTCAAAATGTTGAAAATTACATAATTTATCAAAAAAAGGTTCTACATGTCTCACTCATCAGGGATAGATTTTTAACCAAATTTTAGGCTAAAAACTGAAGGAGCCCATCTTACTGAAGAGTATGTGGTACAGTACTTACAAGTAAATACTGTTGTTTTAATCGCCGTGGGTCCACACATAACCAAAGTAACCAATTCTTGGATGCATTTCATTATACGGGATTTTAGTAATCCAAATGTTCTTCCCTTATTCAGGTTACGCATTTTAAATCATTTAATTTTTTCCAGTCTGGAAAAAAGAAGGAACCTTAAAACTGTTTTTTTCCTCAGTTTTCAGCATGAAATCAGGAATTTAAAACTGATTCGCATGAGTTTGAAGTGATTCTGACAATTTTGTGCTTGAAACTTTCTGAATACTGTACCACAAATTTCAAAGACAAGAGTAAAACTACTGTATACCCTTCTTTTTTCATCTTTAATTATTTTATGAGAGATTCCAAAAATGCCATTACCGGAATTTGAGTTTTTTTGTCAAAAGTTGTGTTATATGAAATAATTTCATTTTGTGAAACTTTATTCAAATGTCGCAATGCACTGATTTCGTCAGACGATTCTTTCGTATATGCTGGGAATGAAAGTTCCAAAAATGCCAAGTTACAAATTTCTTCTGAAATTCGAGTATTTCTTGGTCAAAAAAATGTGTCATAAAAAACAATTTTGTTACGTGTGTAAATTCTATTCCCAACTGGAAATGTCGCAATGCACCAATTTCGTTAGACGAGACTCTATCCTTCAATGCTTTACATGCCAGCTTCACCTGACATCTAGTGTTGAAGAGGATCTTTCGTAATGAAGGGAAATCACTGCGCTGACCCTCTTCAACACTAGATGTCAGGTAAAGCTCACATCTAGCGTTGAAGAGAAGGGAAAAGGTGACTCACGTAAAGAAATTGTTTTCAAGATATGTCACAAAATTTTGCAGCTCACATAAAGAAAAATGCATCCCCAAGTACGTGCGTCACTTCTTTCTCTTTCTTTCTCACCTGTAAAACGTGTAGGCATCATGAACGGATTCGAAAGTGACGAAGAAAATCCCAGCGGGGTCTTCGACACTCCTCAAGATGGCGGCATTCACTTCGGCCTCCAGCTCCAATTCCTTCCGCGCGTAATAACTCACGGCGTGCACCCGGTACTTGCGCAAGAAACGCGCGCAAAAAAAGCACGTCTGGGTCATCAACTCGCGCTTGTACGCAGTTTCCTCCAGCTTGCGCACGTTGAAGGCGAACCTGACTTCATCCACTTTCAGGAACGGATAGGCCTCCTCCATGTATCGGCTCACGTAGTTCTGGAAAGGCACGAGAAAAACAGTCATTTATAGATAATAGAATCATTGAAAATGAAATATCCAAGACTCGAGGTACGTTTTCTGTGTAGTTCTTGGGATTTCACTGCCTCACAAAAGAGTAAACAGGAAATACTGTATTTATTCTGAATTTCAACTTAAATCAGGAACCCTTTTTCTAGCAAAATGAAAATATTGCTATGGTTATATTCTTTGAGACAAAAAGAGCAAAAGTAAGGTATACTCTTCTTTTTCGCGTTTTCTTCCCTTTTTTCAAACACTTCCGAAGTGTTTCAAAGCACAAAACATGAAGAATTCAGTCAGTTTGGCTAATAAAATATTTCCGTGCCTACTAACTTGCCCAATTTTCATTGCCACTACTGCAAGGATGTTGCCCTTACTTGTTTTTCAGACTTTCTGAGTAAGTCATCTGAGTTGAGAAAATGTAACACCCCTGGTTTTCTCAGACTTGGTTAAATCAAGCTGAAGTATATCAGGTTAGTTATTGTTCTGCCAGACTTTTAATACCTTAGTCATGAAAAAAAAGCTTTGTAGCTATCTCCTTTCATTTTAACATAGCTTATGCAGGGTAAAGAACAAATATTTCTTCTCGAATAAAAACTAAATAAAAGTTGTTCTTTTTTTGTAATCCTATTTGCATTAGCGCCCTACCGTTGGAGAAGGTAACGAAGAAATGCACAGAATGCGTAGGTTTTCACCAAGAACCACAATGTGCTGCTATTTGCGAACATTGCTTATTTGCAAAAAAATGGACTGGAAGAAACCCTCACTGCCTTAACGCATTTTTTTGAGCATCCCAACTTTTGCAAGGATGCCTGCTGATAGCAGCCTGCTTGCTCCTCAAGCAGAGAGAATAGCAAATTGGCTTTTTTGTCTCTTTGTATCATTTCCTCCATTCCCTTACGCTTTTCTAGAGAAATGAAACCTTCTGTAGAAAGCCATAAGAAAAATTAAAAACATATAATGTTTTCCATGTTAAGAAAAAAAGTATGGGATATATCACGGATCAAATGGCAACCCACATCTTGAACCTGAAATCCATCCCTCCGGGATTTGCTTAAGATTGCTACATCCGTTGTTTTTTTCTGTGCTTTGGGGTTGCTTCTAAAAATACCTACTAATTTATGATTATGAGAATTGAAAAATGTATTTGAATCAAACAATGGTCCAAACTCTAGAAAAGCCAAATTGCAATCTAAAAGAATCAATGCAGGTAAAAGAGTTTATTTCCTTGACATAAAATCTACCAAGGGTAAAGATTATTATCTTACAATTACATAAAGTAAAAAAAAGGCAGAAGAAGAAGGGCTAACTGAGGTTTTGTTTGCATTGCCAATGAATGCCTCTACTAAGATTTTTGCTCTGGTTTGCCATTTGATGCAAGCAGAAGGTATTGATCAAGCCGTGTTCAATATTTTGCAGCTAAAAAAACGGGATGATTTAAAACAAGATTTTCTAGAGAACCCAGCAGCTTGTTCAACAAGGGTGGATTTTAGTTTTTGTATGGCTTGTGCAAGGCAACCTGCAATCAATCAGTTTTGAAGGGGCTTTTCATTATCAGACTTGTTTTTATGCATTAAATTAACTCAGATTATAATCAGTCACAACTAATTTGAATTTACATGAAAAATACTTTCACATTCTAAATAACGGAGGAAATCCATTCAAGAACATCTGATTGAAAAATTCATCAGAAAATTAGGATCCAGCTTCTCAAGTTAATTGACAGATGCAAGCACTAGACGTATTTTTGGTAAAGATATACCACCAATAAAGAAATATTAAATTCTTTAAAAAATAGCTCTGTTGTCCTTCTGCGGATGGCGTGAAGAAATGGGTGCCCTATTGCCTGAAAGAACCTGCAGGAGATATTTTTGGTTCTGTTGTTGGTCAAAGTACAGTACTGTATACCACAACACCTGTTCTAGCAGCAAAATGAAAATAACAGAAATCCATATACAGTAGTGCTGTAACTGTAGGCGTGAGTTTGAAATAAAATTGTGGCCCTAGGCAGTGTCCTGTTTAAGGGAATACTGTATTCCTTTTTTTGGTGTCTCAGGTGGGCGCGGACCAGTCAAAGACTTTTCTCAGGGCCAGTAACATTAATAATCCCGATTTTCATCGTGACCCTTTTTTTGCGTGGGGTTCAGGGCGAGGGTGGTGGATCGGTGAGACACAATCCTCAAGCGTATAATAACTCACGTAAGTGCACATGTGCTTCGGTATCTTCTCCACCATCACGGTCCTCGACATCGGCCGCCGGAACTTACCGAAAATCCGCACCAACTTCCCCCTGTACGACTTGACCACTACGATCCCGAACGGGAACAACGATATCCCGAGGACGACGTGAACCCACAAGACCCGGGAACCCGGCTCCAGGTTCGCAATGACAGTGATGTTCAGGCCCAGGGACCCCGGAACAGTGTTGGCCGTGGAAGCTGCAATGTTGAGCGGCATGACAAGGAGGGTGCAGATGACAGTGAGGACAAACATGTAGAGGATGAGGTATTGTTGGAAGAGCAAGTAGCGAACAGCGTCGTGACCGCATCTTTCTCCGATCCGGGTCAGGCTCAGGACGAAGACCCACTTGACCCAGGAAAAGTAGCCTTCTCGGTCGATCCGTTCGCTGGCTGCGAACCTCGCGTGTCTAATTTGAATTGATTGAAGAGAGGAATGTCGAGGGAAAAAAGCAAATTTTAATCATGATTTTATGTCACCATCATCCGCTACAAAAATTAGTACGGAACAAGAANTCGATCAGTAATTGAAGCTCCTGATATTACAGTATGTTCAGTTCCGTTGAGGTAAGAATAAGCTTCGGAAATCTAATGTTTGTATGAGATTCAGA